GTCCCGCAGGCAATTAGACATAGGCAGTATATAGCGGCGGGTCCCTCGCAGCGTTACTTGCAGCCCATAAGTTTATAGTACACATGTAGGCAAAGAAAAGGGATCACCGATAAAGAGGCACGTGCCGCTCGAGTATAGCGTAGAGAGCTGAGAAACGAGCTCAATTTGATGATTGAGAAAATAGCGGGTGTGTGCACAAGCTCGTAATGCGTTGATAATTTTTCGACAGCGCGAAACCAATCAAACGCCAGAGCAAATTCTAAAATTGCTTTTTCATTGTCACTGGCGTCTTTAGAACAGCCGTGAAAAATTATAAAGTGCCATAGTTCGACAAGCTTAAAAGCAAGAATTATTCTAAAAAAATGATTATAATGTACAATAGAGAATGTACTTATGTACTTATATTTATTAGGGTGTACCCCTTTTTTAAATATTTTTAAAATTTTTTTGTTACTTGCGGATTTCCAATACTCCATCTATTGTTGGAATCAAAAAGCTTCAAGTCAAATATGAAATACTTGATTCCGACATATATCTTATGTTACGATACAAAACGAATTCTGCAATATTAATCATTTCATTTTATTATACAAAACATTGAAAAATCAATGAACAGCTGCTTAAGAATAATTATTGAAAGTAAAACTTCAACAAATAAATAAATTCAATTTGAAAGCATAAAAAATGAGTAAAAAGATTTAAAAAGTTATACCAATGAAAAAGGACCCAATAGTTACAATTCTGGTTATTGTTAAAGCACCAATAATAAAATTATAAAATAATTCTGGTGTCTCTGGGTAGTCTTTATTCTTAACATTATCGCTCTCGTTCGCTCTTTTCTTGCAGGTTTACTCAACGCATAGCGAAGTTTTACGTAGGTATGCCCATAAGCAAGTTTTGATCATATAATCTGTGGACGAAGCTTTAGTTGTGGTATATTTTTTTAAAATATACTAGTTTGCGCAAGGATCTAGTTAATCGATACAACTGGAATTTTTTAATGTAAATCTGGTAGGAGGTCAAAAATATTCCAGTTGAAATTTTCAATTATTCAAACATGATAGTGTTCAAACATGATAGTGAGGATAACGAGTAAACAGATGAATTGGTAAATTAATTGTAAACAATACAATCATAAACGTTTTTGACATAGTTCTTCGAAACACTCATCATGAGTAAAGTAAAATTAGTTTGAATGTTTGTCTTTCCCGATCAAACAAGCCATAAAATCAGAAGATAAATTCTATTCATTCCATTTCCGTGGCACTAAATAAATTGATCGATTAATAAATTTAGGCACCAAAATGGATAAATGTGAGAAGAAATTCGACGAAGTTATCTCAAGAGATAATGCAAGTGAACTTAACATTTTTTTTTCAAACGAAAAACAATATATTTGTGATATTTGTCATGAGGCATTTACATTAGAATCAAGTATGATAAAACACCGAGATATAATTCACAATGAACAAAAACATTACGAATGTGACAAGTGCGAGCAGAAATTCGAGTTTCGAAGTCATTTGAGTAGACACCAAATATCAGAACACAAAGCCCGCAAAGATTTCTCATGTGACAATTGCGAGAAGAAATTTGTGAAAAAATCGAGTTTAGTTACGCATCAAAAATTAGTACATAAAGATCGTGAAGATTACTTATGCAACAAGTGCGAGAGGAAATTTGAGAATAAATCAACTCTACTTAAGCACAAAAAAATATTTCACGAAGTATTAAAAAATTACTTATGTGAAATGTGTGCAAAGAGATTCGGAAATAAACAGAGTTTGCTCACGCACATAAAGACAGTCCATGAGGGTCCCAAAGATTTTTTATGTGACAAGTGCGGAGAAAAATTTAGAAAAAAATCGAATATGCTCTTCCACCTGAAGACTGTACACGAAGGTTGCGAAGATTACGTTTGCGATAATTGCGAGAAAAAATTTGGAGAACGAAGTAATTTGATCAAACATCAAAAAATAGCCCATGAAGGTCGGAAAGATTTTGCATTCGACAAGTGCGAGCAAAAATTTAGACAAAAATTATCATTGATCAGACACCAACAAGCAGTCCAACAAGACTACGGATGCGACATGTGTGAAAAGAAATTCCGACTAAAACAGCATTTGTTCAGACACCAAAAGACAGTCCATGAGGGTCGCAGAGATTTTGCATGCGACAAATGCGAGAAAAAATTTATTCATAAACAGCATTTACTCGGTCATCAAAAGACAATACACGAGGGTCGCAAAGATTACGTCTGCGACAAGTGTGAAAGAAAATTCGGATATAAATCGACTTTGCTCTACCACCAAAAGGTAATCCATGAAGGTCGAAGAGATTTCCAATGCAACAAGTGCGAAAAAATTTTTGGGAAACAAAGGAATTTGATACGACATCAAAAAACAGTTCACGAAGGCAGAAAAGATTTTTCATGTGACCAATGCGAAAAGAAATTTGGAGAAAAATCAAATTTGCTAACCCACTTAAAGATAGCACACGAAGGCCGGAAAGACTATGCATGCGAGAAATGCGAAAAAAAATTTGGACAGAAGTCTAATTTGCTCGTTCACCAAAGGACAGTACACGAAGGTCGCAAGGATTTTGCATGCGACAAGTGTGAGAAAAAATTTACATGCAATTACGATTTCTTAAAGCATCAACAGACAGTTCACGAAGGCCGGAAAGATCATGAATGTGACAAATGCGAGAAAAAATTCGGAAGAAAATCGGATTTGTTCAAACACCAAAGGTTATTACATGAAGGTCAGAAGAATTTCGTATGCGACAAGTGTGAGAAGAAATTTGGACCTAAGTCTGATTTTTTAAATCATCAAAGGGCAGTACACGAGGGTTGCAAAGATCACGCATGCGACTATTGCGGCAAAAAATTCGGATACAGATGTAATTTGCTCGTTCACATAAAAACAATCCACGAGGATGGCAATGACTTTGCATGCGACAAATGCGAGAAAAAATTTGGAGTCAAGTCTAATTTGTTTAAACACCAAAGGACAGTCCACGAAGGTCGCAAAGATTATGCATGCAACAAGTGCGAGAAGAAGTTTGGAGAAAAATGGATTTTGGTTCAGCATGAAAAGACTGTACACGAAGGTCAAAAAGATTTTACATGTGACAAGTGCGAGAAAAAATTTGGAAGAAAATCAGATTTGCTTTTGCACCAAAGAACAGTACACGAAGGTCAGAAAGATTATGCATGTAACAAATGCGAGAAGAAATTTGGAAGAAAATCAGAATTGTTCAGACACCAAAGACTAGTCCATAACGGCCACAAAGATTACGAATGCAACAAGTGCCAAAATAAGTTTGGACAAAAATCAGATTTGTTTAAACACCGAAAGACAGTACACGAAGGTCGCAAAGATTATGCATGCAACAAGTGCGAGAAGAAGTTTGGAGAAAAATGGATTTTGGTTCAGCATGAAAAGACTGTACACGAAGGTCAAAAAGATTTTACATGTGACAAGTGCGAGAAAAAATTCGGAAGAAAATCAGATTTGTTGAAACATCAAAGGACAATCCATGAAGGTCAGAAGAATTTCGCATGCGACAAGTGTGAGAAGAAATTTGGTGAAAAATCAAAATTGATTAGGCATCAAAAGGCAGTACACGAAAGTCGCAAAGAAATGCAAGAAAAAATTTAGATAAAAGTGAATTCACTCAAACACTATAAATAACAGTTCATATTGACAATTTTAAATATGTATAGATATTTGTACATGTATTTTTATAAAATTTTAGTAAAATTTGTGCCTAATTGATTAAGTCTCACTGATATCAACTATCATTAAGGTATACGCCCCTATTTTCGATCAGTTAGGCCCTAATTTTTTATGTAGAATTGAAACTTGATATCTGATTTTGAATAATGTTTTTCTGTTGAAGATGTTCGATTCATTCAGCCAATTATTAAAAAAAATGTTTTTATGTAAAATTAAGTTGTTAATATTTATTATTAATCGAATATAGGGACATGATCGAAAAAAGGGGCATATACCTTACACCTTTTTACTTTGTGGTTCTGGTATTTTCAGATTTTGCGATTTAATAATTACTACTCTCCGTCCATTTTCTTAGCTACTTGATTCCTGTATCTATTTATACAACGATTAGCCGAGAGCTTCTTTAACGTTTTGTTTGGAGTTGTAAATGGAGCGAGAATCTAGTTGGCTATCAAGTTGGATTTTTGATGAAATGAGCACTAGTGCAAAAGATTTAGATAAATTTGCTAACGAACTGATTATTTTTGTAATTAAAAGAAATGTGATCGATAGTAAAAATATGATCTTACCAAAAAATCGAAGTGTAAATCATTTAATAATTTAATTTAAATCAAAAAAAATGTTTCCCACATTCTCTAAATATTAAATGATGTATGGTAGCTTTTTTATCCCAAATTATAACCCTAAAACTTTTATTAATCCACAATCTCATTTTAATGCTTCGAATTGAATTCGTTGAATTTTCAAAAATCAACTCCTTTGAGGAAGCAGCAAATAAAAGTTTGCACTTTTACTACTTCACCAACGGTTAAATAATTCAGTCAAGCCATAATTAAATCTGTACCTCTGCCAAGTACTCGCATTATAACCCAAGATAAAAAAATTTACCTTCAATGAAAAGCACAGTACAATCACCCAGCTTTACAGAATCTGATTATTAGATCCAATTTGGAAACATAATGGATAGACATATGAATATTGATACAAGTGTTCCCTGACATTCGCGTTCACGGTTTTAAAAAATCTTGAACATGCAGATTTGATGTATAAAATTTCATCGGTTATTTTTAAAGCCAGATTTCACCTGTAGATGGCGAGTACCTATATTTGAGAATCTGCAAGTGGCAAAGTCAAACTAATTGCATAAGTTAAATCACGAACGAAATTATTTAGAAATGATCTATTCAGATGCACATCGATCGATCTCAATGTATAAATATCTCTCTCTAACGGTGTATCCTCGCTTTCGATTTGTTCCAGATGGGCCATCCCGGCATGGAGTCGCTGGACATGCTCGATCCGGCCAACTCCATGACGACCCTGACGCCGATGTCGGAGAACGCCTCCGCGGGCGGCGGTGGCGGGGCCGCTTCCGCGGCGACGAATCCCGGCCACCACGGCGGCATCCACGGCCCGGCCTCGGTCTACGGCGGCATGAACGGCATGATGAGCCACCACCACCATCACAGCCAGATCGGCGGCAGCGTGCCCCATCCGCATCATCATCCGGCGATGGCAGCGGCTGCCGCAGCCGCCGCCGCGGCCGGTCTCCATCCGGACGCCGACACGGACCCCAGGGAGCTCGAGGCGTTCGCCGAGCGATTCAAGCAGCGCCGCATCAAGCTCGGCGTGACGCAGGCCGACGTGGGCAAGGCCCTGGCCAATCTCAAGCTGCCCGGTGTCGGGGCCCTGTCTCAATCGACGATATGCCGCTTCGAGTCCCTGACCCTGTCGCACAACAACATGATCGCTCTGAAGCCGATACTTCAAGCCTGGCTCGAGGAGGCCGAGGCCCAGGCGAAGAACAAGCGACGCGACCCCGACGCCCCGTCGGTGCTGCCAGCCGGCGAGAAGAAGCGCAAGCGCACGAGCATCGCCGCCCCGGAGAAGAGGTCGCTCGAGGCCTACTTCGCCGTGCAGCCCAGGCCCTCGGGCGAGAAGATCGCCGCGATAGCGGAGAAGCTGGACCTGAAGAAGAACGTGGTGAGGGTGTGGTTCTGCAATCAGCGCCAGAAGCAGAAGCGCATGAAGTTCGCCGCCCAGCATTGACCCGAGGCCGGCTTGTGACAGCAGAATTGACTGTACCAGCCGCCGAGCCTCGAACCGAAGCCCGAACCACTCGCGGGCGAGTACCAGGGCTGGCCTTGAATTTGCACTCCGCAACTGAACAGTGGTCGCGCGGCGTTCGCAATGATTATTAAAATAAAGAAAATCGCTATTATTGTGGTGCAGCATGATAATAATAATAATTTTTGCGAATCGCGAGCGAGCGACTCCAGGAGTCAAAGGAGAGGCTTAAAAAAAAGTCGGGCAGGCGTGTAGTAATATAACACACACGCGACGCTTGCCAAGTATAATACAAGGGTTCGATCCGTCGGCGGACGCGACATTAATCGAGTTTGACGATATTCACTGTCACTCTCTCTCGTCTCCCTCTACCTCTCGCAAAAAGGGGGTAGAGAAACGTAAGTCTGTCTTGTCAGTCTGTCACAAGCCAATGCATATACATATACGTGTATATAACGTATACATATAGATCTATATTATTATATATATATGTACTCTATACAAGTCTTTCGACGGCACGTGTATCGTGTACGCTATATACACATGCTGTACTGTAGCCTCGCGCAAGGCACTACATACATCAAGTGTGTGTGAGTATATAGCGTACATACGAACGCGAGTAGTGCTTTCCTCGTTTTCTTGCTTGTCTTTTTTATTTTGTCGATTGTCTCGAGAATGCGCCTGCCGATGCACATACACGATGGTGCACACGCGAGCCTCTCCGTCTACCACTACTACTCCTGCGCGAAATCGAGAATTGGTTTTAGGAGCTCTAAGTACTCGCTGCTGCCAATAGAGAAAGAGAGAGAAAAAAAAAAGAAGATAATTGTAACGTCGATATATATTTGCTCACTTTACTTCTCCGGCTCGCGAGCGGCTATCGTCGTCGTCGCGTCGTCTTGGTCTTCTTCTTTTGACACAAATAGAGCACACACAGGCGAGCGCGCGCGCGGATTGTTTTGAATGTATACACTATCGTATACCGCCAAAGAATCCAGGCTTCGTCGTATATATCGATCTCTCACCGGTTTTATTGTATACGAACGAAGAAAAGGCACGAGGGAGGGCTCTGATTGATTTCAGTTATATGTTTCGATTGTGTCTGTGTGTGTGTGTGTGTGTGTGGGTGGCCGCACTCGACAAAAGCCGAACACACAATATGTATTACGTAGCGGCGCAAAATTGATCGAAAGCTTCAACCCGACTGTTGGCCGGATATATATATTCCTTTTTCAAAATTTCATTTCGCATTGAACTTTGCTCTTGGATAAAGCCATATTGTTTTCTTTTCGCGGGAAAATACGGTTGTCTCTCTCTCTCTCTCTCTCTCTCTCCTTACCAAAGTACATACGTATATCGTGAATAGTTTTTTTTCTTCTTCTCTCTTTCGCTCTTGTGTTCGCGCGCGCGCGCGGGGGAGAGCTTTCGCGTACCGTAAGAAACTCGGACGTCATTATATCTTAAATATTATAACGAAAAATTGCGCTGATTTTCACAGAAGAGAGGCAATAATGAAATTCGCTGCGTCGAGAATACGATGATATAGACACCCTCGTAGAGAAACCAAACCTAGCTGCGCTGATCCGAGAAATCAATCAACGCGCGTACGCGCGAGCTTTTCCTCGAAAGGCATTAAGCGCTCGTGTGTGCGTTTATATAAATGCGTGCTTGCGGCTGCATATATAGTGCGTTTTGTGCGCGCGTAAAATACCCGCTACTCCCTACGCCGATCGAGTAATAGGAATAGAAAAGCGCAAAAGAAGCTCGCCCGCGCGTGTAATAAGATAATTACTCGAATTTCTCATCTTAACGAGTCGGCCAGACCGTCGCTATACATAATGTTGTTGTATGTACATAAGTGCGCGTACACGGCATAATCGTCGTCGTCGTCGTCGCAAAAAGCTCGCACGAAATCGATTTCACCTGTCGCGGAGCCGGAGAGATAGGCGGGCGGGCTCGCGTCTATATGTCTGTCTGGTGTGTACGTGTGTGTGTACGGAAATAAATCCCCGCGCAGATCGATGGCCATACGGGAAAGCTCAGCAGCAGCAGCGCGCGGGTATGATTTTATAAATAGAGCACGCGCGAAACTAGGAGCCGCGCGCGACATGCATATATGCATAAAGGTATATTATCAAGTTTTTACTCTCGATATTTATACATTCGTTGAAAAAAAAAAGAAGAAGAAGAAGATAAGGACGGGTGGATTTTATTTGCGTCACGGTGGCAGCAGCAGCCCCTTCAGCCAATTTCGATGTAATATATATACGCGATCGATCATCTTCGCGCGTGCGTCGCGCTTGAAAAATTCAATAATTGAGACGAATCCGTTTTTTACGAGGCATGCGATTAATCGCTTGTATAGGCAGTGCAACTCGAGATTATCGATGAATAAACGAAAGCGAGTTATCGGGGAAGAAACGATTTTTAAAAGTACAACTTGAAACATAAGCTTCTGTGTATAGTATGTATAAAAAAAAATTAAATTAAATCTATTGTTACTTGGAATTCTCATTATATATTATATTGTATACAGGGAAAGTGATATTAATCCTAATGACGATTTTCGAGTGGGAACAACGCAAACTAACTTATAACGAACAAAAAAAAAGAAAACAATTTATACATAATAGTTAATTAATAATATGAGTTACGATAATATATAGGAGCAAAAATGCCGTTTCTTCGCAAGCACGCGTTACAAATGTATTACATACAGTAATTATTAAATTATCGAAAGATTATCTCGTATACATACTTATACATACACGCAAAAAAGGAAATCAACGATCACATAATATGATTAACTTTTTTTAATATCATTTTGACAAGGAATTATGTACGAAGTAATAATTGAAAAATTATAAAAAATTTTAAACTCACACGCAGCGATTTGGATCGAAAAAGCCGAATGAAAAGCAAAAACGATATTGTGAATTTTTTAATTGCACTCAGTAGTGATAAAGGACAATCAGTGAGTAAGACTGTATCTTAATACGAGGAAAAAAAATTATTAAAAAAAAAAACAAGCAATATCCCCTGTAACCCTTATTAGTAGAATAGTCAACGAGTTGCGCAGGGGTCGATAAAGAATAATGGATGAAAATACCGGTGGTAATCCGAGAAAGATCCTCGCGACGTGCAAGCTACTAATATCCGTCGATTTCGAGTCACGCCTCGATGTGCAGTTAAATACAACGAAACATCATAAATGATGCAAAAAAAATCCAAGACGTAAAATTAGACGACATACATCATCGAAAAAAAATGATGAATCGTAGCGCATAGCGTCTATAAATACGATACGATCGCGATTCGCAGCTTATAATATCGTGGCATCATCGATAGGCCCTTGCTACCTCTATTTTTTTTTCCATCGTCTATTCCATACAACTCTTTTCTGCGACACATACGTCTAGCTCCGATATATCCGGAGCTCGGTTGACGGAAAGAATAAGGGTAAAAACACTTGATAACCTTGCACGTAGCGAGCCCCGACTTGTCTTACTGCCGCGACCGAAATTGATTATTCTCCAGCCCTCCCCTTGCATACCGTATTGCTGTATGTACATATAAGCGTTTATCAATATAATATGATGTAACACATATATAAATACACCCTTTCCCCCCCGCGCCCGCTAAAACTGGCATATAATGATACGAGCGCGACGCGAAAAAAAAAGGCTGAAAACCGAATACGCGCGAGTCGTGTTGTGATTATAACCATCGGGACAGTTGTCACCGCGTGTATAATAGAGAGACAGCTTAGGTTGTTCGGGGCTTCGCGATACGATGCGATATCGATAATGTTAATTTTACGAAAATAATTCGAGTGCGGTATCGAACTTAAAATATTTTTATTCGTGAAATCAAATGAAAAAATTTCATTCGGATCTAAAAGTAAAGAGCAAGAAACTACGATACAAAAGTTGGCGCTATCGCGTACTTAATTGCACGCAGAGTCAAAAAAGTATGCCTCGCGCTTGAAAAATAAAATTGTGTAAAAATATTACATTTCTTCTTTAATAATAAATCTTTGCCTCATTGTAAATTACCCTATATTTTGCGTTAGTGTTGGCATGTTTATCAAAAGAAAGAAACATTAATGTTTAATACTCCTTGCCTCTTGTACCTGGACATAAAGCATGTTTTTTTGAACTCTGTGCGCGGTCAAGCACGTGTCGCGCCTAAAACTTTTTTGTAAGGAGGTTTCCACGCTATAGAACGACGTTATTTACATACGGCATACATATATTCATTCGTCTACTTAATGTTATAGTCGCGATTACAGTATGCACGCGCATCAACTATAATAAAAAAAGTTGATGTCTATAATTTCGATATTATCGAGGAATTATTATTGACGACAAAACATCACCGATGTATATTTTGTTAATATTAAAAATATCCTATCGATTTTTCATCGAATGTCCTGAAGCCCTGTAAAAACTTCGGTAATGTCATGCTTCGAGTACCGTACGAGAAAACAATTAGCAGTCGATCGTACGAGCGAAAAAACTAGGCGTTCGTTATTTGTAAATTACCTTATGATTATACATATTATAAATAGACATTACGCGATCGACATTTGCGCGCTCGACGACCGTATATATATGCGGTCTCGCGGCGGGCGTATACCGTGTCGGTGTATTTGAAAAGCAATCACTAATACTGTGCAAAGTTATATCGTATATGTATAATTTTCGAATAAGATTATCGAGTCAGAACCATAATTTTTAACGAAGTATAAGAACAAAGTGTATAAATTATCACGAAAAATTATAATTAATATATATATAAAATAACTTTTATCGTGTACATACAAGTTTTAAGATAACTAAGCTATTTTACGGTCAGAGACGGCAATCTTCAAAAATGCCAATTGCGTACTTAAACTAATTAAATTATAATTAGTGCGATCACCGATTATAACATTAATAATTGAACATAAAAAAAAACCCCGTATGCATCCGACGTACTTGCGGATGATCGTGTACATTTAGAGGGTACGTATTGTGTATAGTTGCGACGAAATAAAATTTAAAAAAAATTGTGTAACGCTCGGCGATTCAAAAAAAAAAAACGAGCGCGCGATATAGAGCGAAAAAAATTATTAGTGCAATATCTAGTTACTAGTTGTTTATTTCTTTCGAAAAATGTTGAAAAGTCATGTGAAATATTTTTATTTACCTACTCGTTTTTATCATGATTATATACGGAATAGCACTCATATTTTTGCGGCCTTTGTGCGATCTTGTTTTTTGTAAGAAATTTACGAGAAAAAAAAAATGACGAAGAAGAAATGAGTTTCACAAAGGCTGAAAACTTTACCGGCTAATCTAAATATAGTCATTATTGATCTCAGCTTTGTACTGTATATTGAAAAAGACTCTCGTAATTGAGCTTTGGTCCTTAGAGAGTCAATTCGTAGATGAGCGCTATGAGAATTGTAAAATAAAATACGTTTTTATTGTAATTTTAAATTAAAAAAGCATTAACCAAATAAAACGAATGAATTTTCTTGTCAATATTAAATGTTTACGTGCCCGCGTGGGAGCCCACTTATACGCATTTTGAATTTTATAAATTCTACGATCACGAGGATATAAAGTAATTCAACGAAATATCAAAGCAACAAAAAAAAAAGTGTTAAGGGATTGATATAATACCATTTGTTATAATTTTCTAAAGTACTTAACTGCAAGTTTATATTAAACTACAGATACTCAACTATAGTCGATTTGTCTACAACCGATCGTGTTACGTATGCCACGTTTTGTGAATAAAGGTAAAATACATACATTATTAC